TGGTACCGATACTCGGTACTAGTACCGGTACCGGCGGTACCGTTTCCTGAATTTCATGTATTTTGAGTACCAAGTACCATCCTATATTTTTAAATTTGGTACGGTTCGGTACCGGTTCCGATACCGTGCCGGTACGAGATCGAGATTTGGGACAAATTGCTCATCCATATACCTAACCGAAACAATATACCGTGAGCATTTATAGAAGCGCGTCGTGAATCTAGTCCTTACATAAGATTAGATTTGCAACTCATCTTGTAATCACGGTGCGTAAGGAGATAGATCGTGTCACGAATCTTACCAAGTGCTCCTTTTTCATATTTCTTCTTCCATTAATATTTCGAGCACCAAAATTTCTTTATAAGCATTAAAAACTTCCCCTCCTAGTGACATCATTGCGAAGTTATAATCTTTTAGCTCTACCACCTCTTCTTCTATCAAATCATCATCCCAACGACATAAAAATTCTTAATTTTTTTTAAAAAAAAAATTGTTTTATGGTAATATCATTTTTTTGGTGTGCTAAAAGCAAAACTTTGCTAGTTCTTTTCCTACTTTTGTTATTTTTACCTTCTAGAAGATGTTTTTCAATTTCCGAAATAAAATTCACAAAAAACCCCTTAGGTTGTTTTATGTTTTTCAAAAGACTAAATTGCACAAATGGTCCCTATGGTTAGCGGAAAATTGCCACTTTGGTCCAAAAAAGTTTGGACTAGCACCAAAGGTCCAAACTTTTCATTTTGTTGCGATTTTGGTCCAGTTTAGTTTTAATTTTGTTACAATGACGAATTTGCCCCTGAATTTATCCTTTGCATTTTCTTTCTTGAATATTTTTATTATAGAAATTAAAAAAAATGCCTCTCTCTCTCTCTCTCTCTCTCTCTCTCTCTCTCTCTCTCCCTCTCTCTCTCGTAAACCAATACAATCAACACATATCCTTGTTCTTCCCTTCTGCATTTGTTCCCTTCTGCCCTACCCATCTCGTTCCTTAATTTGTTCCATGGTTAACGGCCACGTTATACCCACGGACGATCTCCCTCGTCACTATTAATCGACCCAGGAGCACCGAGATTAGCCGCCTGCGAGCCTTCTTCCCTTCCCCTCGCAAATCTTCATCCACCATCGAACGACACCCCTCTTTGCTTCATCCTCTTCACGATCGGCCATCAATCAGAGGCTAATGTTTGATTTCATTCCTGTTTCTTTCGTGTCTACTATGGTTCATTCGCGTTCATATCCTCCTTCACCTTCTAGATCCTCATTTCAAATCTCACTTCTACATTCTCCTTCCTCTGTATTTTATGTTAGGTTAAAACCCAAATCAGATATAACACAACCCAAAGTTATGAAGTCGAAATCGTTTCAAGCCCTAATTGGAGGAGAGAGTATCGGTGAGATTGTACATCTGCTGTAAACATGGGGTTTTCTTGAAAACATCATGAATATAAAACTGGATCTTGAAAGGATATACATGATGCGTACGTTTAGGTTAGATTTTCTACATATTTCTTTCTCTTTGATTTTCTGCAAATTTATGGGTTTGTAAACTCATAACAAAATATTCGATTGTGTGGTATTTGTGTGTGTGTGTGTGTGTGTGTGTGTTTATCTTGACGTTATAGAAATCTTCAGTCAGATTGATAGGTTTCATATGCAATTACAAGTTCCCATTCTTGATGGATCAGCGAGGGAAAGGGTGGAAATTATGGAGCAAGTTGGGATTGCAATTGCTATGGATTCCAATGGAAATATTGTAAGAAACTAGCACCATATCTTACTCAACCTTTTTATGTGTCAAAAGGAGATTTTGTAATATCAGCATCCCCTTCTAAGTAAATTAGTATCAGTTATAGAATCAGTTTTCCATACGTAAACCTAAACCCCTTTATTTCCCTTTTATAAATCAATGTCTCCGATGCTGCCTTCCGACGAACAGGTTTTGTGAGATATTAAGCTCAACCAGCTTCGTCGGAGGTAAGGAAGATGAAGACGAATAATGAGAGGGAGATGTGGTGGTGACGGCGATGCCATCTTTTCCGGTGGTAGTTAGCAATGGAGAGAGAGAGAGAGTGTGTGTGTGTGTGTATGTGTGAGAGAGAAAGAGAGAGGGTGAGAAAGAGAGAGAAGAAAGAGAGAGAGAGGGAGAGAGAGAGAGAGAGGAGAGATTTAATTTAATTTTTTATTTTTGAATTATTTTTTAAATCTGAAAATCAGAAAAACAATTAAGAAAAAAGAGAAAATCATATTAATAGGGGCAAATCTGTTATTTTGAAAAAAAAAAATCAGAATTGATTGGACCAAACAAACAATAAAATAAAAACTTTGGACTTCTGGTGCTAGTCCAAACTTTTTTGGACCAAAGTAGCAGTTTTGAGCAAACCACATGGACCATTTGTGTAGTTTTGTCTTTTGAAAAGTATAAATACTTTTTTTTAGAAATAAAAATACATAATTATACTTTCTTAGAATTATAATTATATTTTTAAATGTATAATTATATATTTCTGAAGTATAAATACATTTTTATAAGTATAAATATGTATTTAAAAATATAAATACATAGTTTTCTATTTTTTGAGGTATATATATATATATATATATATATATATATATATATATATATATATAATATATATATATATATATATATATATAAACACGTTTTTTTATTGATATAATTCTAAATACATAAAAATATGTATTTATCTAAATACATAAAAGTATATATTTATACTTCTTAAAACATATTAATATCAAAAAAAAAAATATTTATATTTCTAAAATACATAAAAATACATATTTATACTTCTAAAAATATATAATTTTAAATATGTAACAATAATATGTATCTATATTTAAAAAAATATATTTTTACATTTGAAGCCACATAAATAGTAGGAAAAAAAACATATGTAAAAAATAGAATTTACAAAAAATGTTATTATGGTATTTAATCAAGCTTTTTTGTGAATAAATATATTTTTCGAATACGTATGATACATAAAAAAAATTCAGACAGAAGCCTCAAAGTTATAAACTTAGGGTTTTTTTGTAGAATTGTATTTAATGTTTATATGAAGTCCTTTTATTACTAGGTTAAAATAGAAAAAATTTGAAAATTTCCAATTTTGACACAAAAAAATGATATTAATATAAAAAAGTATTAAAAAAAAAAGATTTTGGTATCAATATCCTATTCATATTTGAAATATCATCTACGGAGTATCATAACAAAAAATAAGGAATACGGTACATGACTCGTGAGGAAGAGCATCATGTGAGCAATTTTTTTTGACCGTGACTGTACCACATTGACGTTAATATAACAGAAATCATTGCTTTCATCTTAATAGTGGATTGAAATGGATATAGATTGACTTGTCTTGGACCATGTTTGTAAGCCTGTTTTTGGATTTTATTCACGGATTCACCATGCCTTTTTTGATATGTCATGTGCTTAACTCATGATAAAAAAAAAAAAAAAAAAAAAAGGTGTAAAAAACTTGTAAGCGTCTCTAATGATTGAGATTTTTTAGACTTTGAACTTTATTTATTATCATTTAATCTTTCGAGTATAAATTTAATTGATTGTTCAAAATATATTGAATTGTCAATGTATTTTGCGGTTTGTACATTTTTAACATTTATCTTTTAATCATATTTTATTTTATTTTACCTTTTAATTAGATTTCAGCTTGAAAATAATATATATATATATATATATATATATATATATATATATATATATATATATATATATATATATATATATATATATATATATATATAATATATATATATATATATATAGGGTTAGGTTCATTTGAGACCACCTATATTTTGTGAGACCGCGAGATGCATTTTTTTATTTTTTTTTAATTTTTTTTATTTTTTTAGTTAATTCATGTTCCGAAAATAATATTTAAAAAAAGAATTTTTTGATTTTTCCATTTATTTTGCATTTTAAAATTATTTTTAGAATATGTACAGTGTAATATTCTATTTAGAATATTTCACGTATTTTTAAAAAAAAAATAGAATTTTTTTTTAGTTAATTCAAGTTCCGAAAATAATATTTAAAAAAAGAATTTTTAGATTTTTCCATTTATTTTGTATTTTAAAATTATTTTTTCGAATATGTCAGTGTAATATACTATTTAGAATATTTCACGTATTTTTCAAAAAAAAAAACGGAATTTTTTTTATTTTTTTAGTTAATTCAAGTTCCGAAAATAATATTTAAAAAAAGAATTTTTGGATTTTTCCATTTATTTTGCATTTTAAAATTATTTTTAGATTTGGTCTCACGGTCTCAAAAAATTAGAATAATCTCAAATGAACCTGAACCTATATATATATATATATATATATATATATATATATATATATATATATATATATATATATATATATATATTTCTATTTATTTTGCATTTTAAAATTATTTTTAGATTTGGTCTCACGGTCTCAAAAAATTAGAATAATCTCAAATGAACTTGAACCTATATATATATATATATATATATATATATATATATATATATATATATATATTATATATATATATATATATGTATAGTTTTAATCGGTAACATAAAATAATTTCAAAAATGTTTTGAAATTAAATGGTTAACAATGTATGAGAACCAACAACATCTAACGACTGAAAACTAGGTGACTGTTTATTCGGCTTAGATTGTTGTTCAAAATGCCATTGGACCAATAATTCTGATTATAGTTATGAAATACTATTCGATTCGATTAACAACTCTTGAAGATCCCGGCAAATACATTATTTGACGTTTTTTGAGCAACAAGTCTCCTAGTTATATATCTTTTGTATTTGTTTTTGATTAGATCATTTTCGTGTCAAATGATATAACGAGAGCCCAAAATCATTACACACACATAATGAATTAGCAAACTACTTAAGAGAATATTGGAACATAACTAATAATATAAATATTAATGGCAACTTACTATATATCCATAAAGCCAAGTTACATCCCCCAAGACACGTACCCTACATAAAATATTACAAGCTAAGAAACAACCCCACAAATTATATATGTTTAGGGAGTTGATTCGTATTACTATTAGCGAAATATACTTATCCAATTACCCCAATTTAGTTATGCTTTTGCCCCATTAGCATCTCACCTGTCAAGCCACAAGAAAGAGCCTCATCTGGTATCTTCCGCACAAGATGAACCCCTTCTGCGAAAATCACACCCATTCCCATATGCAAATGAGGCTCTATATGACAATGAAATGCCCACACACCTGGATTATCAGTCATGAATCTTATCGCTGTCCACCCATGAGGAAATATAACTACAGTGTTCCTCAATGGCGGGTTTACCAAATTCAGTTTCTTTTCATCTTTCTTGGAAAACTTCCCATCTCCATACCCCAACACCCAAAAGTCATGCCCATGAAGGTGCCATGGATGTATCTCACTAACACCTTCCTGTATTAAATTCGCATTTTGTAATATCACGTCATAAGTCTTGCCAAAATTAAGATTATAAACCCCACTGCTAATCGTGCAGTTGGGATTCGGTGGGGGCTTAGTTATATCATATGTGTCACTGAATGTTTCCGGTGGACTTATTTGGTCAAACGCATTAGTTAAACCATATCTTATTGAACCTAAGTAAGGTGTTTCCGTTAACTTAAGTGACACATTGTTGATAGCCCATTTGGTTTGACCTTCCATGAAATTTTGAGTATTGAGGAGGAAGATTCGATGATCGTAATTGGCTGGAGGCTTCGGTGATCCTGGATGTGCAAGAAGCTTGTAAGTGAATGATTTACTATGAGCGTAGTCGTTCCATCGAGGGGTTGTGGGAGGATGATGCTTAGGACGTTTCGACACCTTGGCGGATGTGTAGTGTAATAAGGCTAAGCCTCTAGCGGTTTTTGTCGGGTCTCTTCCTCTTACACCCACCGAAATCCAGTAATTATGGGAAGAATGTTTATGTGTATTGAATATTACTGAGTAGCTTTCACCGGAGTATATGTCAAAGTCCTTGACCAAAAATGGCTTGAGGTAGTTCCCATCAGCTTCCACCATCAACATGTTGTGGCTCTGCATGCATGAAAAACTTCGTAAGTTTTTTGTATTGGAGTCGATTATATCAATGGTGTTTAGAGAAAGAAGGATAATTTATATATAGTGTTACCTCAATGGCGACATTGAGTGAAGCTAAGGCAGTAGTGCTTGCGACTCTCAGCCTGTATGTCTTCCCTGGCTCGACGTCGAGGATGTTAGGTGCGCACTGTTCTTTTCCGGTGAACTTGCACCCTGGTAAACCCTTAGAGTCTTTGCTATTAGGGGGCACTGCTAATGAACAGGTGAATTGCCCTCTTCCATTTATTAGCACACTCTACAAAACGTTGTTTCAAATCATGAATATATATATATACTAGTTGTTACTCGTAAACAACAAGTATACTAATTGCCCCAGTTTAATTTTTTTATTTGATAAAGTTGTTTCAAATTTAAAGTAATTCATGTTGCTTCTAAGGGGATCCAAACAAAAGATGCAACATTGAGATTCAGTTTTCAACTTTTTTTATAGGAAAATCTAGGAAAAACTTAATATTCAGATAAATTTTTTAATAAAGTTTTAAATTTTATTTTTTTGAACAAAAAATTTTGTTTTTTTTTTCTTCATTTTTTGAATAGAAAAGCCTTCCAAAAAACCAACTAATTTATTCACTTTAATAATTTTTAATATGTCATAGGTCCATAGGACCAAACTGTTGAATTTTCAAAAATATTAGGATTTTTTTTAGATTTCATCAAAATTTGTAGATAATGTATTAACATATTTTTGATATATATATATATATATATATATATATATATATATATATATATATATATATATATATATATTTACGTATTTGTGTATTTTTAAAGTTTTTATATGTATATGTTTACGTATTCTAATGTATTATAAATGTATAAACATATTTTTTACTTATTTATATATATATATATATATATATATATATATATATATATATATATATATATATATTTAACCATTTTACATATTTTTATGTATTTTTATATGTTATTTTTTATGTATTATGTATTTATATATATTTTGATGTATTTATGTATTTTTTATAAAGATGTTTATGTATTTTAAATATATAAACATATTCTTTTATGTATTTATACGTATCTTTTTTTTTTAAGTATTTTACATATTTTTGTTGTGTTTTTATGTGTTTTCTATATATTATTTATTTTTATGTATTTTTGCGTATTTATGTATTTTTTTTGTTTTTTATATAGATGTTTATGTATTTTTATGTTTTTTAAATGTTTGATCGTATTATTTTTACATATTTATGTATTTTTTTACTTCAAGTCGTCTTCATCATTTAATCTAATTCGCACAACTACTTCGAGTATGTCTAGATGGTTTTACTACATATCCATACATTTTAAGTTTTTCTCATTCGATATTTAATTTCCAGATAAGCTAAAGGGAAAACCTTAAAATATATGGGTATTTAGGAAACCATCTAGACATATGCAAGTTGTAAGAATTGGATGAAATGGTTGAGATGACTTTAAGTAAAAAAAAAATCATAAATACTTAAGAAAAATACAGTTATACATTTAAAATACAAAAACATATATATAAAAAACTTTTAAAATATATTTAAATACATAAAAATAGATATAAATACGTAATACGTAAAAAAAACCCCATCAAAATACATAAAAATTGTAAAATACTTAAAAATACATATACATATGTAAAAAATATGTTTATACATTTAAAATACATAAACAACTATATAAAAAACTTTTAAAAAAAATACATAAATACATAATACATAACAAAATAACACATAAAAATAAGTAAAAAGAATATATAAAATACTTAAAATGCATATAAATACATTTATAAATTTAAAATACATAAACAATGTAAACATGTATATACAAAACTTACCAAAAAGTGATACATATATATATATATATATAATATATATATATATATATATATATATATATATATACATGTTTATACATTTAAAATACATAAAAATACGTAAATATATACATATAAAAACTTAAAAAATACAAAAGTATATATATATATATATATATATATATATATATATATATATATATATATATATATAAACACCTAAAAAATATGTTTATATATTATATATAGGTTTTGATGAAATTTGCAGAAAATTCTATTATTTTGAAAAAATTAATGATCTGGTCGTGTGACCTGTTAAACAGGTCAAAAAGGTTAAAGTGAATAAATTAACCGGTTTTTAAACTTTACTATTCAAAAAACTAAAAAGTTGAAAATTTTCAATTCAAAAAATAAAATTTAGGGTTTTATTAAATTTTTTCTCAAAAAATTAAGATTTTTCTATAGATTTCTCTTTTTTATATCAACACTCTCAATGTACATGAAAATAAATATAAAAATCCTTAACATTACACGATTTATATCAAATTAAATAACAGAAACCAAAGATGACATAAATTACTTTAAAATTGGTACAAATGAAATTATTTGGGTCAGATTTAGAGAATAGAGGACATATTAAAAGCGGATAGAAAGTTACCAAAACAAAAGAAAATTTATTTACCATCCGACTTTTCTGACACAAATACTGTTTTGTTAGACCATAATCTTTTCAATTAAAATTTAATTTTAACAAAGTAAATACTAAATGAAAGTTATACAATTTAAAAAATATAAATTAAGATATATATATTCTATGACATGTTATACCTGAGCTTCACCTATCCAACGCATAGGTTTGGCATTGAGATCTTCCTCTTGTTCTTCAATACCTTTATGCCACCAATCACTTAGCAGGAGGCTAAACTCCCCATCATAATGAAAAGCTTCCTTCTTTCCCTCCTCAACGTCGACTATCAACATTCCATATAACCCCGCTGATCTTTGCATCCCCAAATGTCCATGGTAAAAGTACGTACCCGCCTTCACACTCAATCGGATTAATTAACGTTTACTTATCATACTTACACTTAACTCAAAACTTTCTCCAAAATGCATAATAACACATCATATACGACACTATACACACATACCTTATCAACTGTGAAGTTGTATGTAAACGTGTCTCCAGATTTTATCGGACATTGTGATATGGCTGCAGTTCCATCCGCCCATGGTGTTTTCAACTTTTTTTTTCAAGAAACAATTAGAAATTAACCATGCAAAGATTAGGAAGAAAAGTATATATATATATATATAACATATGTGAAGGGTTCTAACCTGTCTAATACCATGCCAATGGATAACAACTCCATCCTTATCAAGCTTGTTTGTGAGATTAACAACAACGTTGTCTCCAGCTCGAGCTTTGATTGTCGGACCAGGGAACTGACCATTAATGCCGATGATGAAATCTTTTTCCATGCAATCTGGTGCGCCTTTCATGTACTTCACTTCCCAATTGTACTTAACCTCTTCACCCGAAATGGACCTCGAAAACACCCCAAAACACCATAAGCATGCAAGGAAACATATGGGTGTAAGCCTGTTTGGAGCCATTGAGGTTATGGAAGTGATATGAGTGAATGGTTTAACTCTATGGTATATATAGAGAGAGATGGTGGGTATGAACACAAGTCCGAAGTAGGTATAGTCTCGGATAACTAAGTAAAATGTGAACGACCCACTTGTGTTACTCAGTTACTTGATAGATCTTCTCCGTTTTCCACGTGTTGTGATTCTATTGAGTGACTAATTATCTTGTTTCCTTAATTTTGATTTAAAATGATGATGGTTTAGAACATAAACTGACCACACAGAAGTTTTGTTTTTTTGTTTTTTTAGATTTTACTATACAATAGCCACAAAAATTAAAAATAATCAAAATACTCATAAATTTTGGTGCTTATGTGAAAATAATGTTGGTGTGTAGATTTCTTTTTAGTTTTTGAAAATTCAAAACGAGGTTTTTGACGTTAGAAAATGTAGATGCTGACTGCGAAAAATGACATCATCTAAAGATTTATTTGTTTATTTGTTTTTATTTTTTGAAAAAGCTTGTATTGTTTTCTTGTGTTACTGCAAATATCAGGGATTGTATTGTGAAAATTAGAATCCGTACACTTTCGAGGTATGAAACACTACTATACAAACGCAAACATGACCCGTTTTTTTGAAAAAAATGAGCTATATTAAATAGAGAAACGGCTCTAATATAAAGGAATGGGCAATATGACCTGGGTTTTCAACCATAACCGTTTTAGGGTATCAAGTATGGTTTTGAGATGTTTATGCATTTTAGACTGCCACATCATATAAAAATTCTGGTTATTAGTAATGGGGTGGTGTTCACTAGTGAACAAGAGAGAGAAAGAGAAAGGAAGATAGAGATAGAGAGAAACCGGAGGAATGATTGGGAAGAAAAAATTCAGCCAATAAAATTGCTCGTAATCTTCCGTGAATGGCTTCAATCCACGTCACACCCATTATAGAGTGGGGCGGTGTTCACGCGTAAATACCCCCCTCCACGTCAGCTGTCACCTGTGAAAAACTCATCCGTACCCTTTGGCCTTATATGATTATGGGATGCAATTGTGAAAGGTTCATACGACCCAGTTTCCAACAAGTGGGCTTTTTGACATCCGAGATAAGGAAGAAGTCTAGACTTTATTAGAAATAACTTTAACTCATAACTAGATAAAAACTAAATATTCAATTAATTTGTAGTTGAAACTTCCAATATCTATATTTAATTGTTCAATGTGTTAGAAAATAAAGGGATCGAATAACAATTAATATATACTTTGATAGATTCAAGGATCATGTTTATCAAATACTTTTCAAAGACAGTAATTCTTCCCTTTTGTCTGGGGTCTACAAATTCAGAAATGCGATAATCTAAGAATAAACCAATTCGAATTACATGTCAAATTCGAATTAAAAACACAAAATAACTTGCTTTGATGCGTTATTAAGAGATAGAAAAATTATGAAATAATTTCGAGTATATAAATGTTGAACCATTTTTTTTAAACCAGAGAAAAGTTCTTATACTTAAAGGAAAAGTGGTTAAAATCGGTTAAACCAAAAATAACGCTAAAACATGGTGGTTATTGGATACAACTGTACCTACATCATCATGATGTTATCACGGGTTTTTGGCAGGAAATTGCATGGTTGGAGTCTCATTTGATACAAAAATTCATTTAGGTTTCGGGGCGTTGCCATGGAGTTTTGGCGGAACCACCGACA